GTATCTGAAAGTGCAAGCTTTAATCGCTCTTGTTTGCAAAAATTTATGCTCATCTTGTACTGTTTTCACCAATCAATCCTGATTTTCATTAGCCCTCGATATTTGGACTGCCCATGGACATGTACCTTTATTGGTAATTACATATTTACCTTTGCACTTTGCCCCACTTCTAGTTGAGGGCCCATCACCATCAACTACTTTAGATGGCTTACTTACAACATCTTTACATTTCACCCTAATCCGGATTTTGTCATTTTTTGCTAGGTATAAAGACCTCCTTGTTGCTACAGCATGTGAGTTCATGTAGTTTTTAACATCACGCTTGGTTTTGAAGACCTGACCAATCTGAAATGGTTTTACATGAACCTCTACATGTGAGCATGTACTTGACTTACTCAACTCTTTTAGCAGTATCTTCCTATCATCTTCATGAAATCCTGCAAATTGATCATCATCAATCGCAATAACTTCCAACTCATCATCAACCATGTCATTCCCTTCATCTTTTGAATGATTGTTTAAGATTCCATGTTCATCTACATCAACAACATTATGGAATTCACTCATGCCTACATCTACATCAAATTGTACGTTAGACTCATCCACATTGTATTCACTGTCATCAGAATCATCTCCACTACCCTCAGAACCATGGTCACTCTCAGAATAGAAAGCCTCTCCATTATCATCACTCACCATACCTTCTAGATAATCCACTTCTGCTTGTTGTTCACATGAAGTTTGAACATTAAACTCAACATCATAATTAGCATAAAGTGAATAATCCTTTACAAATGGTTAAAAGTCATCAACTGTTGCAGTATTAGCTCCATCATCAGCTTGGCAGCTTGGTTCCTGTACATGGTAAGTTCCCACTGGTTCTTCAGTTTCAACTGCATCAGTGATCACTTCTTCTTGAGTTTCAATTTCAATGATTGACCACTTCCTCTTGAATGACATGACTTTATTTGCTAGCTTGTGACCTTATAAATGGCAGAATACTCTTTGAGTAATCATGCCCTTCATCTACATCTAATACTTGTGACTGCTCATAATCAGGGTTCATAGACTTGTTTAGATCAAGCTTTCTACTACATGATCCTGTTTCTCTCCTACAAGATTTCTTTCTATTCATTTCAGGTGACACACTATCAGGCTCCAACTCTTCAATAACAACTTTAGAAGGAGACTTGTAATAACTAGCTACCCTTGTCTGGCCAGTTTCAATATACACCCTTACAAGTCTGTGTTTAGGGACATATGATACCATTTTAAGTACATCTTGGTCATTACCTAAAGGCATTAAGCCATAGTCTAAAGGGTATTCAGGGTGTAACATCCCATTTAAAATAAAATAAGTAAATAATAAATCCGGAACCCCGAAATGTAAATTTATTATTATTCTATAGCCAAATGTCATGATTTAGAGTTTTGGGGGTTAGAGTGTAATTTTAGGATTTATTTTGAAGAGGATTGTAGATGGCAGGGTGTAATTGGTAACTGTCGGACTCATTGTTGAAAGAATTTGTGGAAACAGGGATTAAAGAGTAAATGTTGGACTTAATTTGAGAAGCATTTGTCATGGAGGGGCCTTTTGGTGACGTTTGGATTCAATTTGAAAGAAAGGGAAGAAGGAGGGACCAAATATGGTATTATGGGGCAAAGTTTCGTGAAGTGGGTATATAACAGTCACAATCGGCAACCCTAACCCTAATGTGCACAGCCGCCACTCAAGTTCATTAGCCGCCACCACCGGTTTCTCTCTTGTGTTCCGACCAGATGGAGCTCCGACGACCACCGCCTGCTGCCTCGTCATCGAAATGCCGTCACACCTTGCTGCCGGACGCCATGCACGAACGAAGAAACCACCGAGAGCGACTTCCGGATGGCGTGATGGCGTTCTCAGATGCTCCTTCTCCTCGCCACCACCGAAGAACCATCGAAGCTTGCTGACCACTGCTATGATGCCGATGCGAGACAACCAGGAAGATCGACGGTGCGAAGGATTGCTTATGACGCTGCTGTTCGACGTGGGAGCCCTCGCCGCCAGCCGTTACTCCGCCGTCGTAGCGAAACTGCCACTATCGGAGAGTGAAGCGTCGGTCGCCGCACCACCGACTACAATCGTGGTGGCCTGTTGCGGTGAAGTCGAGCAACCACCACCCTACTCTTGTCGTTGTTGCCTTATCCGATGGGAAGGACCGATGTGGCTGTCATCGGAATCTATCGCCATCTGCCGCCGGTGCGGCTGCTGCCGTCGCCAAATGCCACCAGGTGGGTGGCTGTGCTACTTCTCCGGGCATAGGGTGTTGTGTGTGTTATTTCTATGATGTAAGGTTGGTTTTTTTGGCCGGAAAAGCCACCACCACCATCGTGAGGTGGTGGCTGCCACCACTTACCACCACCGGTCACCACAAGGGTGGTTGTGTGTGTGCGTGTGTGTTATTATTAGTGTGTGTATGTGTGTATTATCGAGTTGTACATTGTAATGGTGCCAAAATAATAATAGAAATCTCGAACCACCACCGTATGGTGGTGGATGCCGCCACCGGCCGCCGTGTCGGGTGGCGGTGTGCTTGCCTCGTTGAGTTTGATTCGTTTGGGGTGCTTGAAACCCTAATGGGCCTTGTAAGCCCTAATGGACCCAATGAAGCTTAATGGACCTAAAAGCCCAAGCATGTGACTAATGGGCTTAATGATATTCTAGTGGGCCTAATAGGCCCAATAAAGCCCTAATTGACCTAAAAGCCCAACAAATTGATAAATGGGCTAGCATTTTGGTTGGAAACCCTAATTAGGGTTTGGAAAACCCTAATGCCAGTAAAACCCTAATTTTGGGAATCGATTGAGACACACACACGGGAATTATTTAATAAGCTTAAAATGTTACATAATAATCATTGGCAAATTAACCAAAGGAATATTGGACTTAATGGATTAAGTCCTTAGTGGATTAAGTCCTTAATGGGTTAAGTAGGAACACTTAACCCTAATCGTCATTTCATGTGAAAACCCTAATTTCACATGGGCCTTGAGTTGGGCCTTCCTAGTGGGCTTTGGTGATTGGACTATTGATGGGTTGTCCAAGAACAAGTTAACGGACCAAAATAAGTAGATGGGCCTTAAGGAAAGACCATGTAGAGGTCTGGGCCCAATTTGGAAAATTGGGCCATATATTGGGCTTTGGCCCATGATTTGACTTTTGGGCTTTTGTAGTGTGAGTTGGACCTTGGGCTTGGAACCCAATTATTAATTGGGTATTGTTTGATGTTGACAGTTCGGGAATCTGTCAACCAGCAGCGAGACTTCAGCAGTGTCAGGTGAGTTATCCTCACTATACTAAGGGGTCTAAGGCACCAAGGCCGGCCCATTGGTTATGTTATTCTAGCAGTGTTAGATGTTGGGTATGAGTTAGTGTTGCATGCTAGTGGTTATGCCAGTTAGGTAGATTTGTAGGACTACCTGTGTTGTTATATGATTATTTGCATGCTCAGTAGTTATGTTATATGTTGATATGTTATAGGGGATGGGTTGAAGTGATACTGCTCCGTGCGGTAACCAACAAACCCGAGAGCATTCCAGATACGAGCTGTGGGCCCGGTAGGCAATCCAGACTCGTAATGTGGGCTCGGTGGCAAACCAGATGTGAGCTGTGGGTCCGGAAGGCAATCCAGACTCACACTGTGGGCCCAGTGGTAATCCAGTAACTGGAGCACTCCAGATACGAGCTGAGGGAGACTCGTACTGTGGGCTCGATGGCAATCCAGATGTGATATGTGGGTCCGGTAGGCAATCCAGACTCATACTGTGGGCCCAGGGGTATTCCAGTCTGTAAAGCTGTGGACCCATTGCATGTTGTTCCGTTTGTTATGTTATGATGCCGCTGACATGGTTATGTGGAGTGTACGTGTATCAGTATTTTGGGGGTAACTCACTAAGCTTTCGGGCTTACAGTTTCAATTTAGTGTTTCAGGTACATCAGGAGATCGTGGCAAGACAAAGGCGTGATCGTACAACTCCTCACTTTTTACGACTTTGTTTCTGGGATACTCTAATATGATACATTTTGAAAACAAGTTTGAAATAGTTAATGGATTTGAAATGTTTTTAAAAGTTTAAATTGGCTTGAATTTTTCGGGTGTTACACAGGGATACAGAAATGGTAGTAAAGGGTTTGCTCAGTTTTGTACCCTAGTTTTCGGACCATGTCATCAAGCTCATGAACTGAAAATAAATCAGTGTCAACATCATCTACATATGCTACAACACCATCAACGTATTTCCTTCCAGGAGTGTATCTTCAACGTGAAATAGTTGTCATATCCTTCTGCAAACACAAAAAAAGAAAGAGTAAAGTCAATGATTTCTCTACATGAACACAATCGACCAAGAAAAAACAAGTTTTGTTGTAGTAACGTACCGTATCTTTTTCCTAAGTCCTGCACGGTTGCAAATTTTTCTCGAAAACACCATATTGATAGCACCATTGCAATTCCTTCAGCTTAAACCCTAAATCCCAATTTATGTTCTTGCTTCTACGATGGGAATGAACCCGATGATTACAAATGTAACTGGTTATCTTCTTGGGAGAGGGACAGGTAGTGAGTTGACGTGCAAACAATAGGTAATCATTTCATATTAAAGAGAGAAGGTTACAACTGAAATGACGAAATTACCCCTGTAATATAATATTGAAAAATGAGTTAACGGTGAAATGCTAACGGAGTGAGCCGGAAAAACCAAATGTTAAAAGTTTTGAAACCACAGGGACGATCCGTGAGGTTTTTATAAATTAGGGACCAAACTTCAGATTTTCGAAAACCACAGGGACAATTTTTGAAGTTTTGTCCTACTTTTAAAATGGAGGGAGCATTCTATAACATTTTTATAGGGCTGTAACTGTAGATGCCGTATTTTAGAAAGGTGTAGTTGCCAATACCGTACTTTGTAAGGGTTTTATTTGTCAATTGCCCATAGTTTTGGACCGACGTCGTATCGTCATGGAGTGGAGATCTCAGACCATATACGGAGCCCTCATCCTTCAGTCTCTTATTGCTATCGTCATCGAGATGCCGTCCGCCAAACCCTTCTCTGCCGCCGCAGGCATGCTCCGATCACGGCTTACCTCAACCCTCCGCCAGCGGGGCGGTGACGGTCCTAGCCGGTGGACCACCCCCGGACACCAGGAGCGCCCTAACGGATACTTTCTGAATCGGACTCCTCTCCCACCGGGCCAGTCGAGGAAGTGGGAAGACTGGGAGCTACCTTGTTACGTCACTAGCTTCCTAACAATCGTCATCCTCGGTGTCGGACTCAACGCCAAGCCCGATCTAACCCTAGAGACGTGGGCTCACCAGAAAGCCGTCGAACGCCTCGAAGCTCAGCGGATCCTCGCGGCGTCGGATGATTCCGATTGATTGTCCAGTCTAGTCTTCTTTCTTCGGATCCTTGGTAATTCTGTGTTATTCCAAATCACTGGACTGAACTAAAGGAGCAAAATCTTGGAACTTGGATTTGTTCATATGTGAGTGTCAGTTTTTCTGATAATAATGTCTAATATTCGAATTGCTATGAAATTTAGGTCTTAATTTTGGGGCATATTGTTTCTTAAAATCTGTTGCAAGTTCATCTAACCTTTTGCAGTTGGTGATTTTTCTGGTAATTTTCTACATTCGACTCAACTTAAGCAAAATTTTATTATGTATGATTTTTGGGCACTTAGGCTTCTGCATGAAAATGATTTGTGAAATCTTGACTTCTCTTTCAATCTGTAAACTCTTGAATGTGTCTCTGATAAACTCGGATTGATCACACCAGATATTATTATTATAGATGAATATATTCATCAATTGTATAGATGAATATATTGATCAATTGAGTGAGTACACATAATAAATGCATTGAATCGATCCTTTTCAATTATACTGATTGTAACAGATATGTGATCAGAAGGTTTTAATCTTTCTTACTTAGCTTTAAAAAAAAAAAAAAAAAAAAAAAACATTTTCATGGGATGAACTTCTCCAGGTATATAAAGTATTGTTAAGCTTAAATTGAATACATTAGTTAAAGAGAATACATTTACTACGTGTAACAAGTACCAAATTCAAAATCTTCCACTTTGTGACTTTCCGAAATTATCACAACATTCAAAACCATTTTCAAGCTTTTCCAATGAAAATTTGAAAAACTCCTATGTTTTGGTAACCCAGTTGCAGAATTTTTTTAGAATGCTTAAATTTCCTGAGCACGGTTTGTTTTAAACAAATAGAAAGGGATATAATATTCCGACCTAAACCAATCGTGGAAATGGGAAGTCGGAAGTTGGGTTTATTATATCCTATGAGTGTCAAAAACCATATTTATTTTTTCTTCAACGCTTATTGAACTACTACTATGCAACCAACTTTAAAAAAAAAAATGATTGCATAATCCTTTCTACTCTTCTTGATGGTAAAATATCTGATACCAAGCTATTAAGATGAAAACTAAAATTTCCTTTGTATGAATCCATATATAACACATCAAATATAAAAGATCGTTGCATCAACATAGAATAAATTAAATAACCTAACATTCCATAACATGAAATCTGTAACATAGCATCCGAAACATAAAAATCCATAAATTCCCACAACACAAACATCAATAACATAAGGTGATAAACTTTCCTACTGTTCATACCAAGTCTCACAACAAACCATACTTACGTCCAGCGTTCCTAATCCAATTCTCACAAGAAGTCGGTTTAATACGCAACCAAACCTTCCTAAGACCCTCACTTTCTCCAAAAAGCATAAGAGCGGTGTTATATCTTGGATCTTCTGTTCCCCATTCAAATTTCTCCAATTTCTCAATACAAGCATCTACATCATCATCTATAGTATGGTTTTTCATCAACAACCTTGCAACCTTACAAATTTCTTCCCCAATTTCTAAGATTTTTAATTCAAGCGAATCTTTGCTTTTTCGTTTTTTCGAACGACAAGACGACTCATCACTTGGAGTCGGGGGTTGTTGAGCATGAGTCAAAACTCTTGGAGTCGAGGGTTGTTGCGATTGAGGTGAATCCATATCATGGGGAAGCTGAGAAGAGGGCCCACAACCATCAAATCCATTGGATGTTACTCCCTCAAACAATTGGATGCAAAGATCGGGAAAAAGTAGTGGCGCTGTTCTCAATGTTTGCACATATTTGTTCGACTGTTTAAAAATATTTCAAGTATATAAGAATAATTTATAAGGGTGCTAGAAACACAATGATAATTTTCATATATAAAAGACACCACCTTAATCTCCATTTGCCATTCTTCTTCTTCTAAATTGAATTTGTTCTTTATTGGATCATATGCATTCCCCGATTTGTTTCTCAACCTCAACCAAGCTCCAAACTTGGCTTTCAGATAGTCATAACGATTCTTCATTTGCCTTTGATTCGCATCAAAATCATGTTCTTTTTGTAGTCTTTGGCCTACATTCTTCCATGAATTGACTTTTAAGCTATTCCCTTCCCGTCCATTTACGGTGATTTCATGTAAGCAAGCTTCTAGAAATGTTTTCTCAATATTTTCTTGTTTCCAATTAATTCTAGGAGGTTTTCTTTGTGCCACACCTAAGATAATTTGTAAGAATGATTTCACCAACTCAACAAAAGCCATGAACTATATTCTTCACAAAACAGCAAAAAAATCACATAACAGCAACAAAGACACAAACTGGCATCAATAATTATCAAAACAGCATCAAAATATCACATACCAGCATCAAAAACACAAAACAGCATCAATTATCACAAAAACAGCTCTAATAATACACACAACTTCTATAAAAACCAAAACAGCAAACAAAACACAAAATCAGCTTCAACAATCACAACATTGGCATAAAAATCACATGAAAACGTTTTTAAATCAAGTAATAAGCAAGGAAATTCACAAAACTCGATTTTTTTACGAAAGAAAATGCAAAAAAAAAAAGAGAGAGATATTGAGAGATTCAACATAAAAACAAGACGTTCAACAGAAAAGAGAGATACCTAGAGATAGCGGAAGGAGGACAGCTCGATTTTTTTTGTTGCTCTGGTCGCTGCATGGAGTGGTTGAACTTCTGGTGGCCGGCGATGATTCAAAGCTGATGTGTGGACTGGTGGAGGAAGGAGAAGCTTCCGTCAATGGAAGCTCAGCAGATGGAGATTTCTGTTGGAGGCCTGTTTTTTTAGGCAAAGAGTGAAAATTAGAAAGAAAGAAAAAAAAAACGCTAAGAGGTGATTTTCGTCTTTTCAAACGCTCTAAATGCTTAATGATTCAGAGGCTACATCTTAATGGAAACAGCCCCTAAGAATGCTATATGAAGAAGCTTAGGAGTCTCATAACTTAAATCAGAATCCGAACAACCACCTAATTTACCTAAATAAGACGTATTCAAGTGACTTAGATGCAAGTATGCCATATATAATCCAATTATTTATGTTGTCTCTTTGTAAAGTTGCAATCGCTAATCAGAAATTAGGAAGTCCCTTCATCATTAGGTTTCCTACATTCCTGTAACTGGAAGACATTGTTCCACCTTTCACCAAATCAAAAAACCAGGAGGAGAAGAGGCACACCACATGACCAAAAGCATCAAATGAACACAATCAGAGGTAATAATGGAGGAGAAACGTTCGATTTAACTCTTTTGGAATCAGGAATTCTAGAAAGGGAAACTGCGAATTTCTTAGCTTGATTAACAACTAACTCCATCTGCCCCCTAACTGATTTATCTTTCATATTGGTGATTTTCTTCCCTATAAATCCCGACTAGTACCGAAAAGGGGGTTCCGCAGAAATGAAATTACCTGATTGACGATCAACAGGAACACGTCCCATCAAATCCCTAGAAAGACTCAATACCGCCTCCGCTTAGAATCTCAGCTGCCGTCATCTCCTAGTAAACAACTCGTGTATCGTATCGTTCCTCATCGAATCGATTAGGGCTACAAGGAAGATCTATGTACTCGATTTCCTCAGGCGATGGCTGCGGTTTTGCGGTAGCGTCGCCAAAATCTCAAAACTGAATTTGTTTGATGACGGTAATTTTGAAATGAATAAACGAGGATAAACAAAAACTTGATAATTTGACTAAAATACACATTGGGTCCTTATGGTTTTTCCAAATTTTAATATTTGGTCCTACTATTGTATTTTTGATATGGATAATCCTTGTAGTTTGGGAACTGATTTGTACACAACAATTTATGTATTATTGAGTTGTACAATACATCATTTTAAAACATCAATTGTTGTGTATGGAGAAAAATTGTTGTGTACGAATCAGCTCCCTTGTGGTTTCAAAAAGTTACGTTAATGGTCCCTGAAGCAGTTACCTCTCTCTCTCTCTCTCTCTCTCTCCCCATCAACTTTGACCACCCTCTGCAACTATATATATATATATATATATATATATATATATATATATATATATATATATATATATATATATATATATGTGGCGAGGTTCAATAGAGAGTCATAATTAACAAGAAACCAATCGTGAGCGTCGGAAATCATAATGATCAACGGCCAAGGAAATACATTGGACGCACACATACCGGATTATACCAAAAAATCCATCTCCTTACAAAAAAATCCACCTATTTTTTTCGTTTAATTTTTTTTTCTTAGGCCACATTTTTTATCGAAAAAAAACGAATATACCGTTGTTCTCGAATTTTCGTCTTCTTTCCATAAAGATTCATGTTGATATATAAACACGATTTTTTTTTCCGAAAAAAACCCACTTCATTTTGTTATTTTTTTCAATATCTAAGTTTATTTTTATCGAAAAAAAAACTAATTATACCAAAAAAATTAATTTTTTGTATTCTATTAATAAACATCAACTCCGACTAAAAAAAACCTCGATCAGTGTAGATTCACATTGTGAATCTAAACTGTAAATATTTAAATTTTTAACATTCACAATGTGAAAAAGTTCGATCAGTTCAGATTCACATTGCGAATCTGACTTACTATTTATTCACACTACACTGTGAATCTGAGAAGGTTCACAATGTGAATCTGAACAGGTTCACAATATGAATCTGAACTAGTTCACAATTTGAATCTGAACTGAAATATAGTTTTTTTTTAACATGAATATGAATCTATGTTTAAAAAGTACAAAAAAGTATGAATTTTAATATATTTATTAATTTTTTTCTATAAAAAATAGACCTTAACTTTTCAACAAAGAAAATGAAGTGAGTTTTTTCTAAAAAAAAAATTCGTTTTTTATATATCATCATGATTCTCTATGGAAAGAGGACGAAAAATCGTGAACAACGGTATATTCGTTTTTTTTGGATAAAAAACATGGCCTAAAAAATTTTAAACGAAAAAATGGAAGTGAATTTTGTTATAATCTGGTGCACGTGAGTTCATTGTAAAAATCTACAACCATTCATTTTGCCGTTGATCGTTTTAAATTTCGACGCTTTGGATTTTTTCATTGGTTCCTTGATTAATAATGGTTCTCTATTGAATTTTTCTATATATATATATATATATAAATATATATATATATAATATATATATATATATATATAATATATATATATATATATATATATATATATATATATATACTAGTCATTTAGCCAAGCGACGGGTGCGAATATTTTTGTTTTTGACAAAAACACTTTTGAAAAGCCTTTATATTAAATTACAGTGACATCATTAAGGGGGTGTTTGGGATTCCATTTTAAACTCAAAAAAGACTTTTGGCAATAAAGACTTATTAACTCATGACTTTTCTATTTAAGGGGTGTTTGGGATTCTATTTTAAACTCAAAAAGGACTTTTGGCAATAAGGACTTATTAACTTGTGACTTTTCTAAAAGAAGTTTTTTAAAAATTGTTTGGATTAGATTTATGGTGCGAAAAGTCAATAAGTTAATAAATTAAAAAGTATTTGGTTAGCTTATACATGTAAAATGACAATTTTTACAAACTCTTTTTAAAAACTCATATTTAAAGGTTTAGGTAGAAGTTGTTTTAAAATGTCTTTTTTCTTTGCGAAACACTTTTTAAAACTTATTAACTTCTCAAAAAGTCAATAAGTTAATAAGAAGTTTTTAGATGAACACCCAAACATGAAGTACCAAAGAAACTAAAAAAAACATCAAAAACTAAGTCAAAAAGTTTTAAATTAACGGAAACGTCAAGCTTCCATATCACGACACATAAACCATCAAGTATTAAACTAATAATTGGTTTGCAAGTTTAATTCTTTCACTTATTATCAGCAATTTACAACAACCTAGCAATAGGTTTGCAAGTTCGGATGCCACATCTAAACAATAAATAACCACAGTACATCATCAAGTTTCCACTTTTTATTGATGCTTTTTAACCCGCTTTCAATTTACATACATCCTGAAAAAAATGGGAAAAATAAATTTAATCGACTATAAGCAATGCATATATAGTGCTACATTACAGAATATGATATTTCCTTCCATTTTGCCCCACCACCTTACCAACCAACTAATTATTCACAAGTGAAGTTAACCTAAAGCAAGAATATCCCAAATAAATCTAGAAAAAGAATACATATATCGTCTGAAACAACCATTTTGCCATTAGAGAAATGCATTTGTTATAAATGTGTGCATCAAGCTTCCATAATGGGAAATGTAGTAGGCATTTTGTGTCGAAAATCCTAATAGATGCCTCAAACCAAGAAATCCATACTTAATACCCAAATATGATGCAAAATTTATAATGAGTTCAGATATTTACATTGTAAATGGACTTTCGATTTATGCAGAATACTTGTTGTTTAAATTTTCTCTAAAGAATAGATATATACCAGGCAGCCACAAAAAAACAAAAGGCAGCCAAAACCAAAGATCCTAATTCTATTATAACATCCTAGGTTTCAATCCATTTTCTTACACAACATCCTACTTTCAAAGCAGGGCATTTTTTTCTTCATGTTCATTATAGATACAACACGATCATTTTTATTCTCTAACCAAATAATTTAATCAATCATGTATATGAATATGATTGCAATCTAAGATAATAATATATTAGACAACAACAATGTGAAGGTCTTACTATATGATCCCTTCAAAAATGGATGTTGACCACGGCTGAGCATGATTGCTTTCGTTAAATGCTTTCAATTTAGACTCCATAAATATCCTACATAATAAACAGAATTATAAACTAAAACCAGAGTGTATAAATCTTATTCACACACTCTTACGCTCCCGAGCTTGTGAGGAGTATTGGGTGTTGTTGGGAACATTCACATAAAGTTTAATGTAATCTTTCAATCTAATTCTAAGAGCTTGTTTAGATTAGGTTAGTATGGTTAGGGTTAATCAAAGAGCTTGTTTTGGTTAATTAATGTGGTGAATGGGAAGTGTTAGAGCTTGTTAACACTTTCAAGTACCAACTTAGATAGAATTGAGCAAATATCATGTTATCTTGGAATCGCATTGCTAAGTTGTCATACATAGAGTTGGAGTCCTTACAAATTCTGAATTTAATTCACTCATTTAGTTGATTACTTATGTTTTAATTGTTTGTTTAATCATTGCATTCTAAACTAGGGATGAGCATATGGACCGGGGAACCGGCCGGAACCGGCACCGGAACCGGAACCCGATGGAACCGGTCGGGCCGGGACCGGGACGTTATTTTTGTGGATTTTTGGAACCGGGAACCGGTAGGAACCGGAACCGATATAACCGGAACCGGTAGAACCGGCAAAAACCGGAACCGTATGATGTTGTTTTTCGAGGACCGGTTCCAACATTTGAAGACACGACAAGAACCGGTAGGAACCGGGAACCGGTAGAACCGGAACCGGTAGAACCGCCGGGCCGGTTCGGTTCTTGATTTTGGCCGAAGCCGGTTCCCGGGTCGGGTCCGGTTCGGGCCGGTTCCGGCCGGTTCGGTCCTTTTGCTCATCCCTATTCTAAACTCCCCCTCTCTTTACTATTGGTGACCATAGTACCTTGTGCAAAGAGGTATAGACCAATTGTCCCGTGTCTCTGTGGATCGACCCTACTTGCCTTGTACTACCTTTTAGTGCAATATAGTAGTGTTATTTTGGAGTATATCGTACCCCTTTATTTGTTGGGTCTGACACGTCTAACAAATTGGCGCCGTTGCCGGGGACACGATGTTACTAATTGTTTATGCCTAGATCTTTTCGTACAGGTACGCCATTGCCAATTGACTCGGAAATAGAGAAGACTGCAAAGAGGTTACGGAAGCAAGCCAAGCTTCGTAAGAGGCAACCGGGTTCCGGGACTTCTTCATCTTCTAACCCTCCAGTAATCAACATTTGGGAGGATATACCCCTCTCAAGTGTGTCCGCATCCGAAACAGAAATCCTATCACTCTCATCTCAACCATCCTCACCCAAAAATACCACTCCACCATCTTCACCTACTTATAATATCCCAAACACTACACCCACAGAAACTTCAACCACTACTCACACCATGGGAGATAACCATGGAGGGAATCCACATCCAAACCCACCAACCCGAACAAACTCTCCGTCAATGGTCGAGGCAAGAGGTTACTCAACAACCTCTTTGCATCACATATCCGGCAGCCACCAACCTAGAACTGAAATTCGGGCTCATCCACTTACTTCCAACCTTTAGAGGCCTGGAAAATGAAGATCCTCACAAGTTCCTCACTGAGTTCCATGTTGTGTGTGGGCATGAAACCACACAATGTCATGGAGGATCAAATCAAGCTTAGGGAATTCCCCTTTGCGGTGCAAGATGCAACAAAAGATTGACTTTATGACCTCCCACCAGGGACGGTTACTACTTGGGTAGATCTTGCACGATTATTTTTGGATAAATACTTTCCCGAGATGAAAGCTTCAGCCCTACGAAGGGAAATCATTGGAATCAATCAACATAAGAGATAGGCTTTTCACACATATTAGGAGAGATTCAAGAAACTTTGCGCCCATTGTCCAAAGCACGGAATCACCGAGTACCAAATCCTCCAATATTTCATTGAAGGAATGCCTTCAATGGAAAGAAGGCTTCTTA